TGATTCTCTTACTAGTATAGAATCAACCCATGTCAAAGATTTTATTCCATCAGTAATTGATGAGGGAACAAGTAGTATGGTAAGCTGGTTCAAAGAGCATTTGAAGAAATCATTATTAATAGAAAAAAAGAATGCTAGAATAAAATTGCTACGTTAGATACAAAACCAGTAAATGTTCTGCAGGGCAATGAAGTCATAGATTCTCTCTCCTACTGAACATAATTATTTACATCTCTATCACACACACACACAAATCCACAAGTTAACATGTCACTTCACAGTGTCTGGGCTTTTTTTTAATGGTAAATAGCAAAGTCAAACAAAGGTAAATTCTCCTACATAATTAAACAATCCTGGACAGACCTGTTAAACAATGCTTCATTACTAAATCGAAAGAATGTACCATCCTCTTCTTGCTTTCTTATTATTTCTAAGTTTAGGATAATTTTTCTTAAATCAAACAACTTCACATGAATCTTCTACATCAGTGTTTTTGGTATCATGATAGTCACTTCTTGAGTCAATTAACAAAGTTTTCCAGAACATAACATCTTTACATCTTTCTAGGTTTTCTCAGATAAAGTACTCTTGGAATTGTGTGTAGGTTCTTATATGGTTTGAAAAGAAGATAGATATATTAAATAATTATAAATACTGTAGAAAGTATATAGTTATATGGATGTTAAAAATGTAGGAGTAGCTACCAAAATAATAATAATGTAATTTGTAGCTTCCCCAAGTAGCAAGAGAGAGAGGCAGTATAAAGATAGCTTTAAAAATCCAACAGAAAGGAAAAAGAAGATGGTAAACAGAAAACACAAAATAAGCTGGTAGAAATAATATCTGCTATAACACTCATAATAGATATAATGGATTTAACTCACTTATTAAAAAACAGAGACTATCAAATTGGATGGAAAAAATGTCCTCCTTTCATAAACATGCTGCTATGATCTGAATGCTGGTGTCTGTCTTAATCTGTTTGTGCTGCTGTAACAGAATAACACAGATTTGGTAATTTATAAAGAAAAGAAATTTATTTCTCACAGTTCTGGAGACTTGGAAGTCTAAGATCAAGTTGCTGGCAGGTTTGTTGTCTGGGGAGGGCTGCATCGTTCAGAGGAGAGGAACACTTTGTCCTCACAAGGCAGAAGGTGGAAAGGCAAAAGGGGAAAACCCCATTGTCATGCCATTTTATAAGGGCACCTAATCCCACTCATGAGGGCAAAGCCCTCATGACTCAATCACATCCCAAATGTTACACTTCCCAATATTACACTGGGGACATAGGAATTTTGGAGGGGACACATTCAAACCATACCATTGTGCCCCCTAGCCCCCCAAAATTCTTTCCCTTCTCATATAAAAAAATACATTCATTCCATCTCAATACCCCAAAGTCTTAAGTCATTCCAGCATCAACTTTAAAGTCTAAAGTCCAGAGTCTCATGTAGATATCATCTAAATCAGATATAGGGGAGACTCAAGGCACAATTCATCCTGAGGCAAACTGCTCTCTAGCCGTGAACCTGTGAAATCAAACAAGTTATATGCTTTCAAAACACAATGGTGGACAGGCATAGGATAGACATTCACATTCTAAAAGAGAGCAATAGGCAAGAAGAAAGGGGTAGCAGGTCCCAAGTAAGTCCAAAACCCAATAGGGCAACCCTGCCCCATGGCATTGCTAGGCACAGCCCTCACCTCAGCTCTCACAGGTTGGAGTTGGCTACACATCTCCCAATACTATTGCATTGGGGACACCTGAATTTTGGAGAGGACACGATGAAACAATGGCAGTGTCCCCCCCAAATTCATATGTTGAAACCTATTATCAAATGTGATAGTATTAAGAGGTATAGCCTTTGAGAATTGATTAAGTCATGAGGGCTCCACCTTTATGAATGGGATTAGTGCCCTCATAAGAGGCTCCAGAGAGCTCACTTGTCTCCTGCAGCCATGTGAGGATGCAGCAAGAAGGTGCCATCTTTGAAGCAGAGAACAAGCCCTCATCAGACACCTAGTCTACTGGTGCCTTGATCTTGGACTCCCCAGCCTCCAGAACTGTGAGCAATAAATTTCTACTGTTTATAAATTACCCAGTCTAAGGTGTTTTGCTATAGGAGTCTAAACGGACTAAGATATTTGCCTAAAATGGAAAAGAAACTGAAAGGATGAAAAAAAAAGATGATGTAAGAATATACATATTACAAGGAAAATACAAATAACAGAAAATGTGATGCAGCAATATTGACGTAGATAAAATAAAAATTGAGACAAAAAGCATTTAAAAAGAGCTATTTCATCATGACGAAAAGAATGACTTAATTTTATGAACATACAGAGATAAAAAGAGAACTTGATAAACTCAAAAATGATAATAATTTGGAAGATTTTAATACATTAACTAAAAACTGATATATTCAGCAGAGAAAAATTCACTAATAATATTGACTACTTGAATAAAATTAATAAGGTTAACCTAATAGATCTATGGATAACCTTCCACCCAACAAGTGGAAAATGTTATTTTCAATATACATGGAACATTTTGTTAAAATGATCACACACCAGGTCACAAAAAATTCAAACAAATTTCCAAGATTTAATATAATCTCTGTCCACAAAACATTTAAATTACTAATCAACAAAATGATGGTTAAAAAATAGCAACAAACTTTAATTGGAAACTAAAAAAAAACTACGCTAAAAATAGCTCATTGGTTAAGGAGGAAATTACAATGTCATGAAATATTTAAAACTAAAGACAACAGAGATACCACATGACAAAACTTGTGGGATAGAGAAGTAGTACCTAGAGAGAAATGTAAGCCTTAAATATAATTATTCTTAAAAAAGGAATACTGAAAGCAAATAAGCCAAACTTTTAAGTCATTTAACTAGTAAAAGAATTACAGAGGAACAAAAGTAAGTAAAAAAAAGGAAAATTCATATAATTCATGAAATAAAAGACAAAGAAATAAAGAAAAACATCACAAAACAAAATTGGTTCTTTAAAAAATAATAAGTAGACAAACCTCTGGCAAGAGTCATAAGACTGGAACAATATTGATGAATAGTACTAAGAATGAAACATGGGACATAAACACAGCTAGAACCTGAACAAGTTTAGGTTCATGAACCTAACTAAAACCACGAACAAGTTTATTCCAAAAACAATAGAAAAACTAGATAAAATAGAAACATTTCTAGAAAAAAACACACCTAAAAGTAGTTCAAGATGAAATGCAAAGCCATACAAACATATACAGATATAGATGTATGGATATATCTATATCCATACATCTATAATAAAGAGGTTCCCCCTGAAAAACAAGCGAAGTCCAGATGGTTAAAGGAGAGTTTACCAAACGCTCTTGCTATGAAGCACTATAGTCTTATGCCAAATGCAGACACGGGCAGTAGAGAGAAAATTATAGGCCTATCTTACTAATCATAGATGTTAAGTTCCTAGACAAAATATCAGCAAATTAAATTTAGCAGTAAATGATAATATCATGACCAAGTAGGATTTATTCCAATAAAGTTCGATATCAAAAAACCTATTACTAGAATGCACCAGATTATCAGATTCAGGAAGAAAAACATTAGGATCATGTCAATAAACGCCAAAAGCATTTGTCAAACTTCAACATTTATTAACAATGAGAATTGCTAGGAAAAGCCAAAAAAGAAAATTTCCTTAACTAGTACCTATACAAAAGATGTTTCGTTAAAAGAGGAAAAATAAAAATCTATGAGAGTTTAGTTTCCAACCCAGTGATACATTCAACTACCTTGAGCATTCATTTAATTGCTAAAATAAGAAAGTAGGTAACCAGTAAAGGGTAGCTAGCTACCAATAAACTACAAAAGGCATCATAATTAACAGAGAATTTTAAAAGCATAACAAGGACAAGCATAACAGGATAAGAATAATAGCTGGTCACCATTTCTACTCAATATTACATCTAGAATTATGGTCTGGACAATGGACTACTACACAGCTGTTAAAAAAACACAAAACAAAAAAAAAAAGAAAACAAACTTAGGAAGCAGAGACATGAGAGGACTAAGGCAGGCACCAAGCGTTCCCGAGCCCTGCCACGTCTTTCTCCACTTTCCAGACTGGCAAACTGCCATTCATCCTTTAACTATCTGGGCAGCCAACACCTCCTGCCCATAGGTTAATCCTTCCTCTTTCGCATTTCCTTTGTACCTCATGCATACTTCTAGAAGCAAATGTACCTCACAGTTTTGCAGTGATTTGCTTATCTGGCAGTGTACTTAACCCACCGCCAGCACACAGAGTAGGACTGGAAAGAAATGCTGCACAGCATTTTTCTTTGAAGGCTCCCCGCGCCCCTGCATTAAACCGGTTTGTGCGAAAGGACAAACAAGGCTGAGACACGGCCAGGCCGCAACAGTTGTCGCGCGCCCACTGTAAGCTGGGGCATGGCTCGCACAGACAGAGCTCCACTTTCCCCATCAGAGAGGGCGCCGCGTGCCCCAGCGCACTTCCTCTTTCCTCTCACTTTAAGCGGCGTCGACTGCAATCCCCCTCACCGCCCCGCCCTACAAAAAGAACAGCGTTTTTTCTTTCTTTCTCTCTCTCTTTTCAATAAAGGGGCGCCCAGCCCGGGCTCTCCAACACCCTCCTCACCCCTCGCCCCTTGCCCTGGGCCGCCGCGACTGCGCGCCCGCTCCCAGCCCTAGCCCCTCGCACGGCCGCCCGCGCAGACGCCCCGCCCCGGCCCCGCCGCCCGCGCT